CCTGCGTTGTCAGCAGTTTCGACAGTCACGTGTAGTTTCTAATTTCTCCCATCTTTTAATTTTTTCCCTCTGCCTTCGTTTCAAAAATCAGGCTGAAGGTGTCGTCCCAAGAGCGACTGCTTGTGCAGGAGTCCGCGATGGGGAAGGAGGAGGAGACAAAGACTTTCATCTGTCAGTTGGGAGGGAAAGAACGAGCATAAAGGGTTAAAAAGAGGTTTTCATTTCTACCACATGCCCTATTGTGTGAACATATGCATGAGTCTATTGAAAGTTTTCAGAAGACGGGCAGGCCACCAGTTGCTGGTCTCCTGCAGTTCCAGGAGGACATCTGTTGCCCCAGAGCATTAACCAATCTGTTCAAAGGGCCATCCTTCCTTTGTTAGCCAGAGGGGTGCAGACAACAGCACTCCCTGAAATACAATGGTAATTAAATACACGGAGACTGCAGCAGTAGTATTTATTACATATTCATTATTTTATTTTCATTGTTCTCCTAGTATTGCCATTTGGATAACAACCAGAACCCACTTTATGGCATTGTAACTTTACCTTACAAACAAACAAATGGATTTAACAACATCGTGTTCTCATATTCCTAATGAATTGATATGAGGCTCTTTAGAAATAAAAAAAATTTTTTTTTTCCCATTGGATTTGAGGTGAAGGATTATCCAAGTCCTCTAATGAGAACTTTCAGAGATCTCCCTGGATGGGGGAATCTGTGTGTCTACAACAAATTTCTATTAAATGACCATATTGCTTTCAGCAAATACAAAGTTTCTTTTGACAATTAAAATAATTGGTTACACTTCATCATCTGCAAGATTAGCATGAAAATTTGGGTCTTTTTCAAGAACTGTTATTTCATTTTTAACTTATTACGCCTTCAGCAAGAAAAATTATTTTCGCTTCCAGTACAGTATCTGGAGGGAATCTTTAGCTTTGTAAGTGTAGAAATCTGCATTCAGACCATTTATATTTTTGCCCAGTGCCTCCTGTGTTCATGAATATAGTGTGTAAAGGCCAATTGCAATGGATTCCTGATATAAAACTTCAAAGTTAAGCCATATTTTTTTTGCAGTTTTGTAAGGTTTTTTTTAATAACTATGGGAATATAAACACCTGTTTTGTGTGTGACATTTTGTCTGTGCTGCTGCTTCATGAAATGAGAATTATCCTTATCAGTTAATAGTTGATTAATTTAAAGATGACTTGCATACGTTTGCATTTGAGTAAATGCAAAACTTAAAAGTCTAATAAATGATTAGAAATTAAGGAGAAAATATTTCCTACCTTACTTATAATAATAAATTTGGTGATGTTGTTGGAGTCTTTGCTATCTTTTTCAACATTATATTGACCATTTTTAAGGCACTGAACAAAAATAGATTCTCTACTATTCTTTGTCTTGAGATTTCTTATAATAATACCTCATAAGTTTTACACATGACGATACTTTGACAAGTACTGCAGCCTATGAAAATATTTTTTTCAGCTTTTAAATCTTAAGACTAGTGTTTAATTTTTTTTATTGAGTGATTTCAAGATATTGTGGGGGAAAATTTAAGTCTCATGTGAAGTCAGGGCAATCTTTCACTGATCTCAAGTGGGTGAAGAAGCATTTCAGAACAAAGTTTTAAAAAACCAAATGTTTCCCATCCGGTCACAACAAGTAAGGTTATTTCAGATTTGGATTATGTAGCGGAGATGATCTAGGCCTGGTAATTGCACTCCTTTGCCCATATTTGTACTATTGCATATTTAGTCTATTGATCGATTGGAACTAAAAATAACTATTTAACTGCTTTTTGTGGACAAGATGACATTGGGTAACTTTCTCTCACGTAACCAGTGAAGTACGGAACATGAAGAGAGTCCTGTCAGTGTGGGGAAGAAGTTTAACTAGAGTATCTTAAAAAATATGGTGCCTGACCAGATTAGATGTTGATTTTTTTTTTTTAAGTAGGGTAGGTCAGTATTAACAATCATGTTAGCCCAGTGACTGTAAGCTTTTTACTTCCATAGTTTCTATAGTTAGATGAGTTGTAAATTACAAGTTAAAAGTGTGTGGTATTCACTAAATACATTTGTGTATACAAATGAGTTTTCTCTGGTTTAATATTATAAAAAGCAAATTGTTGGTAATCTCAGTTTCCCTCCCTATATTATAACCATATAAGAAAGTGATACAGTAGAGCAGATTTACACACTATCATGAACACTTCTTTTTATATTAGACTGAAGTGACAGAGAAAGATTTAAATCCTTAGTGTGGATAATTTTTCGTTTAAAAACTTTGTAGTATTTGGTTTTGTTTCCTGAATGCTGTGAAAATGAAGAATAATTTCGCTTATTCTCTAAAGATTTCATGTCCACGTTCCCCAGTGGCTGTGTTTTTCATGCAGTATTCATCTTGTTTGAAACTGTCCAAAAGGAAAACACTTGAGCCCAATATTAAAATAATATTTCCTAGTTCAAGTCCGGGATTTGGTCAGTGAGTCATTATCTTGAAGAATTATCTCACAGCAGCACTTCTGCAAAACCCAAACTTTTCCGGGGCGATCAGAAATGCTGCCCGTTAAATACACTTCCTGCGGTCGGAGCAGACTGTGGGGTTGACAGAACAATGATGTCGGAGCTTCCAGATTGGTTTGGCAGCTGCATTGTTCTCGGAGGGTAAACCAGACGCACTTAAGTCCCAGTCTCTTTTATAGGCTTTTGTTCATACCAAATTCTTGTTTCACTGGGCTGGCGTTCACGGTGGCGTGTTAAAGGAGTGCAGCTTAGCAACCAGCCTCTGGTTGCCAGGCAGCCCGGCTTCCAATAGGTTTTCCTTGTTCGAGATACTTTTGGTGGGGAGCTCTGCGCAGGCCACAGTGCAGATTTTCCTTTTAACTGTATCCCTTCATTAGGATTCTGTTGTGATTTGTTACTTGCATTATGGTGTCAGTATATTACAGTAGTTAATAAATCACGGAGTGTAAAGATTTGCTTTCAAAATCCCTTTCTCAAATTCTAGATTATTGGGCTCATGCATATCCATATTAATAGGAAAAAAAATTTTGAAATGGATACAGCTCCGTCACAGAGCAGATGTATGGAGAGCTCTCCTAAGGAGTATTTCTTTTTATCGGCTGTGCTGTCTGGAGTCAGGAGAGCTCGATGTTGCTTTAAAACTCAGCAGCGCTGTATTACGAGGACAATGTTATCTGTCTTCTCAAGGGTTACAACCTGAAGAAACTCCTGTAGAATGTGGAGTTCTACGCTGAGGAGATCTTAAATGCGGCGTTATCAAGCTAAAGATCCCATGTTCTATTCTCGGGTGTTTATCGCACTTGTATAATTTATTTCATTATGTAGCCATATTTCCCTCCCTAATAAGTTCACCAAGGATGCATTCAGATATGTGACTCCTTAGAAAAACACTTAGCATTTTCTCTTAACATTTATTTAATAGCTCCTTTCTAGTGTAAATAAGAGCTTTAGAATAGAATGTTTTTGCAATTTGCTTCTTTAGATTATTTAAATAGGTGTCATATGACAGTCTGAAGTCCAGCCACCATTGCCAGACTGGCGTTATCCCTGGATGGAACCCCGGGGTTGCCCTAGGAAGTAAACTGCTCATGTGACTATGTCCTCACGCTGAAACACAAGGGCAGAAATAATTTTATTTTGCTAACCTATTCCCGGTCAAGAAATAGCAGTGATTCCCAAGAGACTTTAAGGAACATTGACAAAATAGCAGAAGTGTTTTAAACCGTAAAAGCATTCCTGTGGGAGGGAGGGGAGGCGAAGTAGGAGAGAAGATGACTTTTTAACCAAATGCGGATAGTGGGTAATTAATTATCGATATAGTACAGAAGTATTTTCTTTTTTTTTTTTTAAAGCTTTTCTTTTTTTAAGATTGTATTTATTTATTCAACAGACAAAGATCATGAGTAGGCAGAGAGAGGAGGAAGCAGGCTCCCTGCAGAGCAGAGAGCCTGATGCGGGGCCCGATCCCAGGACCCTGGGATTATGACCTGAGCCGAAAGCAGAGGCTTTAACCCACTGAGCCACCCAGGCGCCCCCAGAAGTATTTTCTTACATTAGATTCAGAAATCAAGATAACATGTATTCAGTGTACTTTAACTCATTGCTGTTAATTTCATGTGACCTGTTCCACTTCTCTGCTTTCTGTAAATGTGCAGAGAATAAAGGAGTTTTTACCCCTGGAATGAAATAGATGGCACTGTCCCTGACCCTTAGGAAGGGTAACATACCATTAAAGTTTGTATTCTGATACTATGCTCTGTATCCACAAAATAAGGATTGTTAGGGCAAAACTATTCGTCTCCTAATTGGAGTATAATTCACTCGGTGATTATTTAGTTCTTTGTTGACTGTTTGAATTTGTTGACTGTTGTCACCTGTGCTCTTTTAGCACTCCACCTAAATTCTATCTGGAATGTCTTCAGATTATTGTTAAGCTTGATCCAAATTAATGTCAGTTTTTCAAGTATAGTAAATTAATGTTTTCCTTTCTTTGCATATGGCTTTCCCTTCAAATAATCTTTACAAATGTTTATGAATTCTTTTAGAGAAAATGTACGTAACCTATCACAGTTCATCTAGAACCTGCCTTTCGGCGATATTGTAGGTGTCGCTCTGAAACACTGGCCTTTCTGACAGTGGAGAGATCTCTTCCACGAAAGGTCGAGAAGTGCACGATAGAATGGGAAAAGTCACGCAAAACTGGGTTCAAAAAAAAAAAACTCCAGTTCCACTAGTTATTTTCTTTGTTGCCTTAGAGGGATTGTGTGGCATTCTACTTCCTAGCTTCTTTATCTGGAAAACAGGGCATGGTACTATCTGGGGCAAAGGTGTTGCGAGGGCTGAGGAGATGGAGAGAAACCACCGCGCTGGATATTCCGTAGTCTGGCAATGTTCTTTCACGTTCTTTATGGGAACAGAAATGAAACCGTCCAAAATTCTAAGTGTCTTACATGTTTTTTCTCTAGGAATACGGGGTGCTTTGCATTCAGGAATACAGAAAAAATAGCAAAGTGGAGTCAGGTACACGTAACAGCTTCATGGGCTTGAAGGATCATCTGGGGCATGACCTCGGCCACCTTTATGTGGAGAGCACTGACCCCCACTCAAGTGCACCTGTGCCGTGGTCGATGGTAGAGAAGCCGACAATGGATCAAGTGCACTCCGGGAAGGAGGAGAAAGACGTGTCGGGAGGGAACGCGAGCTCGGGCGACTCGGACGGAAGCGCACATTCTGACAACGAGGCCGAACGACTGAGCGTTTCGGTGGAGCCGTGCTTGTTGACCAAGACTCACAGACAGCTGTGCCGGTCGCCCTGCTTGGAGCCCCGCGTGCTCACACGCAGTGACCTGCTGCGAGACTTTCAGCCCGCGGAGGCGCCGGCGGCCTGCAGGGAGGCGGCGCAGCCCCCCGACGCGGTGCGGGAGTACCAGACCAAGCTGGAGTTCGCGCTGAAGCTGGGCTACTCGGAGGAGCAGGTGCAGCTCGTGCTCCACAAACTCGGGACCGATGCTTTGATCAACGACATCCTGGGAGAGCTGGTCAAGCTGGGAAACAAGAGCGACGCCGAGCCGGCCGTGAGCGCGATGCCCAGCGCGCCGCGGGACTCGGCCTCGCTGGAGTCCCAGCGCTCGGACTCGCCGATGCAGGAGCCGCTCGCGGACGACGGCGAGAACCTGAGGCCGGTGGTCATCGACGGCAGCAACGTGGCCATGAGGTGAGGGGGGCCGTCTGCGCCCCTTCTTCCCCTCCTGGGGGCGGGGGGCTTGCTCGCTTCGGGGCCGGTTCTCTCCTGGCAGTCGGTGAAGTCGAGATGGTCCCGCATCCCAGCACTGGCCTACGTGTGTCCTAGTTGTGTCACCTCTGGTTTTCTGCCATTCTGCTTCGGGGAGGGGGTCAGCATTCTCACCACGCTTGTCTTTAAAGACAGACCCTCTTCCCCCCTGTAAGTCTCTCTTTCCTTTCCCTCATCCGGCTACATTACTGTGGCATTAAAATTAGCGCATGTCCCTGGCCGAGTGTTAACCGCTGGTTGTAAGGGAAGGTCTCGAGTTCGGTGATATTTGGCAGGTTTGAAATCTAGTTGGAGAAATAGTCTGTTTCTATGCGAGTCAAATAACCATAGGGAAAAAAGGCCAGTTCTTTTCGAAAATTATTTTTATTGATTTGGGAACAAATCGAAGTTAGAGTTTCAAATTTCTTTTGTTTCACTTAAGAGATGTAAATTCAGGGGGGCCTGGGTGGCTCAGTTGGTGAAGCGTCTGCCTTTGGCTCTGGTCGTGATCCCAAGCGTCCTGGGATCAAGTCCCACATTGGGCTCCCTGCTTGGTGGGAAGCCTGCTTCTCCCTCTCCCTCTGCCTGCCACTCTGTCTCTCTCTCTGTCAAATAAATAAATATTTTTAAAAAATGTAAATCCAAAAATAATTCCTTAGGAATAGGATTTTAAAAAAAGCAAAAACTTCTAATGATATTCTTTTTACAAATTGTAATAACATAACATTTTAAGTGTCTCTAAATTCAATTAGTATAAAGTTAATTACCCACAATGTTCTGAACACTGGTGGGGATCTAAAAATAGGGAAAGGTGTCCACTCTTTTCAGAGAGCTTAGAATTTCCTGTATTATTTCCTAGGAAGTGCTCTGATGTTCTCTACCACAGGTATCGTCTGGAGAAGCGTCTAGACCAGTGCTGTTCCATAGAAATATAATGTTGGCACATACCTCAGTTTAAATTTTCTGGTACCTACATTAAAAAATGAAACAGGTAAAGTTGATAGGAAAGGACATATTTTATTTAGACGCATATAGCCAAAATATCATTTCAACATGGGATCACTAATGAGATATTTTGCATTATTCTTCTAATAGTAAGAGTTAAAACTGGCCTTGTTACATTTAGAGCATGTCTCAGTTCAGACAAGCTAGACTCCAGCACTCGGTAGCACCCCTAGCCAGTGGCCGCCGTACTGGATGGTCACTTTTAGAGACCCAGGTCACTTCTAGACACCATCCCACACACAAACTCACCAAGTGCAGGTCCAGAGGTAGTTCATGCATCGCCTTTTGTAACCATTCCCCCAGCTAATAAGAATGTGTACTGAAATCTGGGAGCCACTGGTTTTTAGCAGGTGAGAGTAAGGGCTTGCACCCAGGGTGTGAGAAGGATCAACTTACGTTCCTCAGTATAACCTTTTCAGGTGGAAGCAGTGTTATCTTCCTTTCATTTACAAGCAGATGAGACTTGCAGGGTATTAATTGTTTATCCAAGGAAAAGCATAATTCGAACCCAAATATGTCTGACTTCTAAGTCTGTGTACTTTTTATCTGATAATGAGAGATAGAAACAAGTTGAAAAAGTTCAAGCCAGACCTTTTAAGGTCTTGAGTGACAAGCCAGAGAATTTAAACTTGACCCTAATCCAAAGGTACCTGAAGGTTTTTGAGGAGAGGATGTAGGAAGAGAGTTATTCCTTATGCTCATAACCCGGCAGTGATGCTTAAAGTGGATGCTGGAGGTAGGAGATCAATTTGGATCTCCCCACAACCCTTTCTGACTAAAGAGGGCTTTCTGACTAAAGAGACTTTCGGACTAAAGAGGGCCTCGAGTGTCCTAGAGTTATGAAGCGTAGGTACGGCCTTGAGAAGACTTTCAGTAAAATAATCTCTGTTGTTTAATCTTTCCCAAACTTAGCCACAGAATGATTTTTTTTTTCCTTGTAATCCAGAACTAGGAAATGGTTACCTAAGCAGAGTGGTAACTTGTAAAGCCAAAACATCATGAAATCTCCAGAAGAAAGAGTAGTGAGGGAAGGTGATAGGATCTGGAGGAACCACCTAGAACTGTAGCCAGAAGTCAGAATCCCCAGGGGAGTCCTAAAACAAAATACACCTTCTAGGACTCTACTCTTGGAGAAACTGAATCAATGGGGCTATAATAGAGCCCAAATAATAATGTATTTCTTGAGTGCCCAGGTATTTCTGGTACATAGCCAGTGTCACAGGTCATTCTGCATGAAATGTGAGTATTTACAGGTCAGGAGGGGAGAAGAGTAGCGTGAAAAATACGAGTGTTAGAAAAACCAAGGAGCCACGGATGCCATCAGGACTGGAAGGAGAACAGGCTTTAAGGATAGACTATCCTGTGCGTAGTACTGAAAAACGATCAGAGGACATGACAGCCAGGAAGTCACTATTTTCAGGAATTCCATTTGGCATTGAAGATAGAAGCCCAGTTACAAGGATGTCAAGAAATTAAGGATCAAGAAATTAAGATCAGGGCCCCTGGCTGGCTCAGTCGGAGGAGCGTGTGACTCTTGATCTCAGGGTTGGGAGTTCGAGCCCCACACTGGGCATGGAGCCTCCTTAAAAATTAAAATTAAAAAAAAAAAAAGAATAAATAGAGCTAGATTGGTGTTCAAGAAAGTTGACGGAGGAAGGGAAGAAAGAGGAGGAAGAAGTGTTGGAGGAGGATTTTGTTTAGTTTGGGGTTTAAGAATGAGCCTAGGTAAGCAGAGGAGACAGGGAAAGCACGTCCGCAGGAGAGGAAGGCGGTAACTGCGGGACAGCTGAGCTTTGGAAGCCCAGTGCTGAAGGGGGAGAACAAGACGGGCACCAGGGAAGTATCTGGCAATGGAGGTAAATGCACCGTGAAATGTACAGACACAGACAGACAGGAGGGGGAGAAGGGCAGGAGATTTCTAGAACGTGGAGCCCACAGAAATGAATTCCTAAGATGGATGTCATTTAGATAAACAGTGTCACAGTCGGATCAGCCTCATGTCCACTCCCACGACCAACACTTAGTTCCCAGTGGAAATGAAAATTTCCAGATGGTGGAAATCCTCCCCAGGAGAACTGTGGTTCAGAACTAGGCGGCATCCTGAAGGCGTGTGAACACTGTCTGTCCTTCTGTAAGTAGGAAGACGGACGTCTGCCCCCACACTCGTGCGGCCGCATCAGCTCCCCCTGCTGGACGGGCAGGACGGTGCAGAGTCTGCTCTTCCCACCATCTTGTATTTTAATCTGACGCTGGGACAGAAATGCTCCAGGCATTTCAGGACAGAACAAGTTGACAGGAAATTTTTAGTATAGCAGCATTATCCTGTCAGTCACAATACAGTGTTGTAGCACGTCTGTAACTCTGGAAGTGCCAGAGCTTGTGAAAATTCATAGTAAACTATATTCAGCCATTTGTAAGATCCTCATAAAGTAAGAGAAAAAAAATCATTTAAAAATACCTATCTACTTCAGATTCAAACTCTTATTTTAACAAAAAACGCGGACAGATTTCACCCATTTCATGTCTCATAAACTAGAACATGCTTTTACTTTTAAAATTAATTGCCCACTCACACTAAGTTAGGCAAACCTATTACATAATTTATACACATGATGTTAAAATAATAAGTAAATGTGGGGATGAGTTAAGACTAGAATACTATTTAATTTTCTTTCTGATCTCTCAGGCAGAAGTAGTGCATATATAAGATGAATATATTTTTAGTTTCATTTAAATGCCTGCTATAAAACTGATGGAAAATGATTCTTTAGATAGAAATTAGAAGTAGGAAAGCAAGGGTATTTTTATTAAAATTACCAAAGTAGGCTTTAAAAAAAAAAAAAGTTCTCTCTGTAGCACTTTTGTGATTCTAAGTATGTTGTTAAAACTTTCCAACCTTCCTTTTCAGAATTGTAAAAAGCAGAATTCTTATCTTACAGGCCTGTTATGAGAACTAAAGATAATTAATACCAAGTGCCATGTCATAGGTGCTCAGTAAATTATAGTTACTGCATTAGAGCTAGATTTAGTATTTCAACCCGGAATATAGTAACTAATGAATACTTTGTTATCCCAGGGTTTTGTTTTTGGGTTTGTTTGTATCTAATAAGCATAGCAATTTCACAGTCCATTTTATTTGTACGATTTATAGGAGTATTTTAATTCTTGCTTCAAGTTTATATTATCAGTGGTTTTCAGTGATGATTTCCCCAGTTTCATAAAGAAGACTTGGGCTCAGGGCACCTGGGTGGCTCAGTGGGTTAAGCCTCTGCCTTCGGCTCAGGTCATGATCTCAGGGTCCCAGGATCGAGCCCCGAATCGGGCTCTCTGCTCAGCGGGGAGCCTGCTTCCCCCTCTCTCTCTGCCTGCCTCTCTGCCTACTTGTGCTCTCTCCCTCTCTGTCAAATAAATAAAATCTTTAAAAAAAAAAAAAAAAAAAAAGACGACAACGACGACTTGGGCTCCTAGATCTGGGTGCCATCCAAGTCACTCAGCGAGAAGCCACGTAAGCGAGATAGACACCAGAGCTCCCAGGAGAGCAGGGACCCTCCTAGGGGACCATGGAGGGAGCGTGTTTCTACTTCCTGATGATTAATATGCTTCTTAAAATGTGCCACACTGATAGAGGTTCTGGGCAAGTTTGTTGAATAAGCAACTGACAATGACCCACAACTTAGTGCAGCACAATTTGTGACACCTTTTCACTGCTGAGAGCGGAGGGCATAGCGTGTTAAAACAGAAAGGTAAACTATATTTGGGGAAAGCCCTAAACGTTTACATATATAGTATTAGGCATTCACAATGTGTTTGGTTTCTGAAATGTGAAACAATGAAATTTACATTTAGTGGAGCTGGACTAACAAATCCTGACAAAAAGTGCAGTTGATTTAAAGTCCTTTAAAAAAAAGAAAGAGGGGGCACCTGGGTGGCTCAGTGGG